TTTTGTATTTTGGCTCAACACCTTTCTTGCCCATTAAAGAACTCAATTTCTGAGTGGATATTTTCTGGAAAAACGTTCGTTAAAGGCACAAGAAATGTAAATTTTCAGTTACCACGGACTCTTAAGCTAAGGAAATAACTAATCTTTGGAGGCCATTTTCTCACTAATTTTACCTCTGAAAACAGGTGACCCCCTCCTCCTTCTTTCGCAAATATCTTAGCCTGTATTCAAGACAAATGGACTTTTTTTCATCCAAACAAAGACAAGTGAACAAGTTTTAAGATTATACCAATAACTCTACATGCCCAGAAATTGACGAGAGCCTGATTCCACCACGTGCCTCACATTTAGAGTATTTGGGAGGCGAGCTTCCGACTCTGCGTGTCAGGGCCAACCCGGACTGAAAGGGATACAACATCCCAGAAGAACGACAGAGGCATAACATTAAATAATAATAACATACTCAATAAAGATTCTCCCCACTCGGGAATCGATGATAACACCAAGAGGAAATGATAACTTTACACCCATGGGAAGTGAAGACTTGTTGTATCAACAAAACTAATAGGAATTGATCTCTCATATTTTCGTAAATTTGTCCATAGATTTTTACGTTTGTTCTAAAACAAATTGGCAGCCGTCACATTTTCTTTAAATTTAACATTCAAAACTGACTTGAGCAAAATTCAAATTTTAATATTGATGCAACAAACGCTCAACGATCATAAATTTAAAATTCAAAACTAACATAGCAAAATGCAAATTTTAATATTGATGCAACAAACGCTCAACGATCAAAACTACAGCATCGGCAACAACAAAAGTTGCTTCAACAACAGCAATATCAAAACCAGCAACATCAGCAGCAACAATAACACAATTCAAAACAACCTTCAGCCACAACAATAAAAATTACAATAACAGCAACTATTGTCTTACTATCAACAGCAAAAACAATAACAAAACAAAACTATAGTTTTTTTTGTTTTTGGTGTTGTGAGCCGGTGGATTGTTCTTCTCCCATAGGCCAAATGTAGGCCTGGCTCGAGATCACAAGTAGCCGGAACTATAACAGTAGAATCACAATAGTCATAGGAGAAACCCCATGATGCGCACATTGTGTTGGGATGGAAAACCCCCCTCCCCCTCCCCCAAAATATACTCACACACACACACACACACACACACACACACACACACACACACACACACACACACACACACACACACACACACACACACACACACACACACACACACACACACACACACAAGCAAAACCCAAACAAACAAACATAGAGACAAAACAAAAGGTGTCAGTACGTATAGGTGAACATCAACTTCTAATCATTTTCCCGTTCACCTATTTGTCCTACCTGAGAGATATTCTTGCGACACAATCATGGGCTCTTGTGTGAAGAGAAGAGGGGCACTCCTCGCCGCTGGGGGCCATGGTACAACACCCAGACACAATGCACCGATGAAAGCAATGAAGAGAAGCTCCCACGAACACGAGTCTTTTCCTCCTTGTCGAGGCATTGTTTTCAGTTATGGTTTATCCTGTTGTAAGTGTGTGCACGGGTGTATCGCTATCGGCTCTGATCTAAATAAGTGAGATTACATCCTGAGGCTGTTGAAAGAATGGGAAAGAAAGGAAGGTATATTTTATTTTTATTCTATTCATTAAAAAAATAACAACAACAGCAAGAACAACAACAGCAACAGCAACAACAACAACAACAACAACAACAACAACAATAACAACAACAACAACAACAACAACAACAACAACAACAACAACAACATCAACAACAATAGCACAAAAACAAATACTGCACTGCGAAAGAATGACAAACTTTAAAAAAAGAAGAAAAATGAATGGATGAAAGAAAAAAACAAACATGATTGAATACATGAATGAATGGATGAATGAATGAATGAATACATTTATTGTTTGATTAAACGTTTCGAAGTTCAGCAAAGAAAAATTCTCCAAAGCGCACAAAAGTTTTTAAAAAGACAGGAAGAACAGTACAAAGTAAAGGAGCCAAAGGACATGGTGATTATACGGACAAAAAAAACAACATGGGGGGGGGGGGGGGGGGGGGGTATAAAACAAAGAGGCTAATGTGTTTGCGGAAACATAAAGCACTGGAAAAAGGGGAGGGAGTTTTCAGAGGGTGACAATGAGGAGGAGCGGTATTTACAACTAATCTTTTAATTTGTCATTTTCATTGCCAATAATGTATGATATTAACTGTTTCTTTACTTCTGTTGCCGGGGTTGAAGTTTTGTTTACATTGTTAACCGTCACATTTCTCTGATATGTTGTAGGTTTTTTTACATTGTTGACAGTCACTTTTCTCTTCATGTTTAAAAGTCACTTTTGTCTGGTGTGTTGTAGTTTTATTTACATTTTAAGTCACTTCTTTGATGTGTAATTGTAGTTAGTTATACGTTGTTTACAGCCACATTTTCATGATGTGTTGCAGTTTTATTTACCTTTTTTAACACTCACTTTTCTCTTATGCGTCGTAGTTTTATTTCTTACATTCACATATGTCTCTGATGTGTTGTAGTTTTATTCTTATCTCTATCGGTCATATTTCTCTGATATGTTTCTCCAGTCATTTAGGAAAAGAATAGTCCAGAAAAGCAGGTTACTTTATTTATTTGTCCCGTCCAACATACTGTGAATTATCCGTTCAGTGGTGGAGACGAAAGGTGCCACTGGTGGTGATCCCGTCACGTCGCCACCTTCACTGCTGTAGCCTATTATAGTTCAATAGTGTGGTGGCGAAGGTATCTTAAACTCAATGTATTTATTTCTGTTTTTATTGAAATTTGAAATAGATTCAATGTCAGCTTGTACCATATAATAATATATTAGCCTTCTTCTTCTTCTATCCCGTGGTTGGGGCAACCGTTGGGGCACCTCTGCATTGGAAAACCAGCTCTCGCCATCTATTTTTGTCCTCTGCTCTCCTCAGATTGTCACCCATCGTCTTTCCTGTCCACTCTGTGATGTTGTCCTCCCATCTCCTTCTCTGCCTTCCTCTCTTTCTCTTTCCTTTACGGTTCCTTGCAAGATTGTTTTGGCAAATCCTGTGGATCTTGTGACATGCCCATACCATATTAGCATATATGTATCTAAAATGTGCACTCTGACAAGACACTGCAGCCTTAGATTGTTTTTCGTTTTCTTGTTTTGTTTATGGTGATTTTCTTTTATTATTGTTTTGTTTTTGTTGTTGTTTTAAAAAATAAAATAAGATTGTTGTGCTACCAATTATATCTGTAAAATTGTCATTATTTATACAATTTATGTGTTTTATGTGACAATAAAAGTAATCTATTGATCATTTTATGTACGTATTTCCCTAGAAGAATAAATGGAAATAGTATTCTAAGTATTCGTTATCAAAGGAATTGCTCAAAGAAAGTGGTTTACTGAGGTTCAGCCAACACAAACTATAATTTATAAAGCTCCTTGGTTGGAAGCAGGATTCTGCGCTGTCAGTTCATGACCATGAAGATCATAACAACCCACTGAATTAAACTACAACTGTTTAATACACACTGCTTCTTCGCTTGTGCACGATAAGTTTATAATACACTTATCACATAATAATGTATAATAATATAACAAACTTACAGTAAACTTACCTTATGCTGTTATCATATAATTATATACCCCGTCAGTCAGGCTTAAAGAATGTCAACAGCAAAAGAAGAAAAAATGGCTGCCACTGTCAGAGACTACCACGATTCTTTGCCGTGGCAGAAACAAGAGTAGAAGCCTTGGGTTCGACTGTCGTAAAGTATGGAGAACGCTATAAATAATACTAGACTAGGGCTTCTACAGCCCTGGCAGTGCCAATGTCCGGGAACACCTTCTATCGGGTCGGTTCCTGTTGGCTTGTCGATCGATCGATCACCACTTCGCTGGACTTGCTGTGGGCTATTGTGTTTCTTAGCTTTAGGGACGGGTGGGAGGGGGT